CCATCTTTAGTTTTTCGCTTTAATAATTTAAGGTGTAACTTTACAATAAAATTCTGAATTAAAGGCTAAAAACAGAAAACTTTACATAAAATCAAAAAAACGGTCATTACAATATGCTCAAGAAATGAAGAAATGGGAAATGGTCGTTTTTACTTTTGTTAACAACTCAAATACTAGATAATTTCTAGCATCCATATATTGTAATCTACTCAAAATATATATCACGAATATGAAAAATGATGTTATTAAATATTGCAAAATTAATAAATATTGCAAATTCTCATAATAAAATCAATGTTCTCTTATAAACATTGCAAAAAAAAGTATTTTTTGAAAGATCCGACTCCTAATCAATTATAATATTAAGTTTTGGCTGAAATGCCAGTTTTATTGGAGAAATTTCTAGACATTCACAAATAAAATAAATGAGCTTTTTAAAACTGATAAAAAAGTTTCTACATATGGAAATAATTTATTATATCAATTATTCATAAAAATTCGTCATACTGTAATTTTTATGAGCCTGACGGGAAATCATTTCAACAATAAATTTTGCAACATCAAAGACTACTGGATCTTTTTGATGACTAACAATGTTTCAAAAATTTTTCGCGCTGATTTTGAAAAATGTCTCTTCTCTTTTTTTTTGTCAGTGATGTCATTTTACCGATAAATTCATTTATTTTACTTACAACTGTGTCAACAACTTTTGGATTTGTTTAGGAGGTAATTCTGAAATAGAACTGATTATATCAATCTCATCCTCACCAAAAAAGAATCGTTCTGCAACATGCTATTATGCACTTCATAACCATTTCTTGATTAGTTTTCTCATTTGCGAATTTCTTGTAGATTTGATTAAAATAATATTACACCAAAAATAATGGGGCATTATCATTTTCAAGTCTTCCAATGATGTTAGAAGGATATTCGATATCTTTAACGTGTTTTAGAAAACTATCCCAGTAAGCATTTAGTTAGTGTCAAAGCAGCGGTCGAATTTGCTTTTGAAGCAATTTCTTCTAAAAATACTTTTTTCTTATTCGCAAGTTGAAGCAAAGTACACTTCGCTATACAAAGGCTGTTTATTAAATTAAATTAACTGAGCCATCATGTCGAAACATGTATTGTGAATGAGCAAGAAATATTATCTGCAACTCTCTTCTCGTCAAACTTTGCTTGAGCAATGTGATGATTTTTAACAAAATTGGTGATTTTCTCAGCATTTTTGATGGTCTTTGAGCTTTCAGCAGTACTTAAAATGTCTTAACAAAATGATTCTAACCCTGTTCTGCACAGGTAAACATCAAGATATGTTTTTTTTCATTTAAATTCCAAGCAGCTTTGAGTACTCGAACGTTGTAAGTAATAATGCTTCTAAACTTTTGTGGGCAGAGAGTCTCGATTACTTCAATGATGGCACCAGCAAAAGTAGCAGCGTTTTGAATTTTGCATGATGCTTTGATTGAAGTGTTTTAAAACTATTTTGTACTTGGTGTCTTGAAGTTCACTCTATGATTACTACCATTATTTTTATAACTATCACTGAAGAGCAATTTTCAATTGGTTTGAAATTTTTTTCCAATATAGCGGAGCAATATGAGTATTTTTTTTCAAGAAAGGAACCTGGCAGCTTTTTTGCGCACGGTATTGACAAAACATACAATTGATTTTAGTTGGGAAAAATAATTTGGTTAAATTTATATCGCTTTCTTTTTTGATTCTTCAGGATTCATTACATTTTTGACCACTTTGTATGTTTCAGCTAAGATTATGATGTCGTTGTTAAAGTTGATTAATGATTCGTTATTTCGTTTTGCAAACAATTGTTTCTCATCTTCACAAGCGTTCCGATATGATGTTCGTTTATAGACTATGACGCAATCGCTTGCCCGTTGAACAGTCTTTTGGCATGCAATGCAAGTTCCAGCTCTCGTTATCGTATTAAAATTTTGCAAATAATAATTTATTAAAAAATTTTCCTATGTCTTTCTGTTTAAAGAAAAACGTTTATTTACATATGAATTTTTTAGTTTTTTTATTATTTTACTTGCTTATCTCTTTAATTAAAGCACTTTGATAATAAATAACTTGAAGTTGTTAATTATCAAAGTATGTTAATTAAAAAGATATACGAGTGTAATTAAAAGTTCTAAACTTTTGATTTAACGATTTAAAAGATTAATTTTTTGTTTTTAAACAAAAACTTTGTTATATGAAGTATTTATTAACCTAGTTTCTTTCAAATTCAATAATACTAAATTTTCTATTTATAAAAAAACTATAAAAGACCATTTCTATGAAATAAAGTGCTTTCAAAAACTTTATACGTGTGGGTTTGTTATCACCTTTTAAAGCAGCATTGCTGAGTTTGATTAGATGATTTAGGTTTCTGCTTTGAATTAAGTATGATAAATAACTTATAAAAAAATGATAATTGTGCTGTGTTATTTTTTTTTAAAAAAACTATAACTTAGCAGTTGTAGCTGCAGTGGTTTTGTCAAATATTGTCGATGTTGACAACTTGTTTGTTGTTACCAAAATATGTGATTTGATAATTAATTTTTTTTTGCTTTTTCTTGCTTGTTTAATAAGTGATCTTTTAATAAACTTTAAGAAATATATTCCCTGCAATGTAATCAGCAGTAACTTCAACAAGAAGAAAAAACAAAAATCGAGTTTATCAAATAACAAGTATATTTTAAACATTCCTTTTCTAAACTAAATGATAAATTAATAATTTTCCATCTCCAGTATATGCTTTATGAAACTATAAAAATGCATTAACATTTGTAAAATGGTTATCGGTAACAATAGTTTTTATCTTAAATTCAGATTGGTGCATTGAGGTAATACACTCATCAATTTCTTTTTTCAAACATAAACCTGTTATGTAAACTTTAGGTTATGATTTCAAAACATAAGAATAAGTTTTTGAAGCCCTACAATCATAATAACAAAAACGAATTCTTTATAAAGATTGTTTTCTCAATCTTCATCAAAATGTTTACCATCTTGGGCTGCTTTTTGGAAGTACACCTTACCCACAAGAAGCAAATAATCTCTTAATACCAAATTTTTGTAAATGATTTTTCTAATATATTATAGTTTTTCAATTTGTATTTTTTACCACTGCGAAACCATTTAAATAAAGAAGAATGATAACCACTTCTTTGGCAATGAAAAAAATTAGAATTTTATTAACAGCTATTGACTCCAAAGCAGTTAGTATGCCTGATATTTCTTGGCTACTGTAAATAAATAGCCTGATTTGTTACATTTTAATTGTAATTTAAGTAGGCCATGTCGCTCCTGGCCCATTGTGGAACGAAGATAATCTTTGATGATAGCTAACTCGCTTAAAGATCTTTCTCCTTCAGATGTTGAAACGAGTAATGTTAGAAAGATTCTAAAGAGAAACACACACTCGCGGAATATATTGAATGCAGCCCCTTTACATAAACTTCATTTAGAAGTTCGGCAGGCTTTTGGCTGGCTAGAATATTTATTCTTACGGAAAAAAAATGCCGAACTTCATTAGAAAATTCGTTTTTACATAAGTCCTCTGGTTAAGGTTAAGCCAGATTCTCAGCTTTTAAACCTAGTTCTTGGTCTGTTTGAGATTTCTGTAAAAACCAAAGGAAGTAAAACTTGCTACATTCTTCTTCTATTACTTTAAATCTTGATCTCATTTGACTTGTCAGGTTGTCGAGTGCAACATTGAAGACATTACACTCAAAGTTTTTTGATGCTTCTTCGTGGTTGTAACCAGCAGTTTCCTCTGGGATGATCTTTTTTAGCGTTCTCTTCACAGTAAACAATTTTTTTATCAAATTTCAAGTTCTTTACAACTTCTGTTGCCTCTATCAAAATCAGGTTCCAAGACAGATGGATTCGATCCAGATCCATCAAAAGGCCATTTGAAATCTTTACTTCATCATCGAGAGTGAGTTGAGTGGATTGAAGCAGAATACTCGCGTTGTTAACTGCTATCAAACGTTTAAACCAAAAAGTAGTGAAAACAAGAAATTCAAAAGAATTCATCCATTTAATGAGATAATGCACTTCATTCCTACTTTTGCCTGGAAGGTCTAACTCTTTTAGACGGTGTAATGATTTCTATTGGCTTTTTTGCTAGTGGCTTAACTAATTCAATTATTGAACTCCATCGTGACAGAATGTTTTTGTAATGATTGACCTGTCTACTCCTGAATATTTTTCCAACGAAACTGGGCTGCTGCTGAACAGATTGTATAGCTTTTGAATATTTCCAAAATAGGATTTTGCAGGAGCCGATGATTCAATAGCTTGTACTGCACATAAGTTAAAACTGTGAGCAGAGCAAGGAATAAAAATTGGTTGCGGATTATTTTGTCTTATCAAAGCTTGAACTCCATTGTAAATACCTGCCATATAAGCGCCGTTGTCGTAGCCTTGACCACGACAATTTTTTATGTCGAGCTCATTCTCTTCCAACACATTCAATATCAACTTTGTTATATCAGATCCCTTCTTCTTTTCAAGTTCTTCTAGCTTGAGGAATCTTTCTTTGACCTCCCACAGCTGATTATCACAGCTGATTATCAAACAAGCCAATCTCTTCTAACTTTTTCTTTTTTTTTCTCTCTCTCTCTCTCTCTCTCTCTCTCTCTCTCTCTATATATATATATATATATATATATATATATATATATATATATATATATATATATATATATATATATATACATATATATATATAATATATATATATATAATATATATATATAATATATATATATATATATATATATATATATATATATATATATATATATATATATATATATATATATATATATATATATATATATGTATATATATATATATGTATATATATATATATATATATAAATATATATATATATATATATATATATATATATATATATATATATATATATATATATATATATATATATATATATATATATTTATCCAAATTTATATACTTCTTTTAGATAGAAATATGCATAATAAACCACTTATCAAAGTTAACATCGATGGTCAGCTAACAAATAGGTAAATACAGTTCATACTTAATATAATAGCATCATTAGATGATAACATAAACCAACTGTATTAAATAGTAATCTATAACAAGCAATAATTTTGTAAAATAAATTGAGTATAAATGTTTATATATCTTTTATCAAGGGTAAGGACTTTTGTACCAGTAGTATTTATTTGAAAAAATTAGGTTTTCTATTTGATTATTATAATCTTAAAAATAACATGTTCTTTTTGTTACTATTAAGTAAACAATGTACTTTATTATTACTTCAAAATGTCAAAAAGTTTTATAATTAATTGATTTACATATATCTTTCATGCATTTATTCTTGTTTGGTTACTAGTAAATTCAGGGACACTCTTGGAGTCTGTTTTAAGCAGTCATTTGCATTTTCATTTTTCGCATTTCAATGCAGTTTGCATTATTTATTTTGAAAAGTGAAATTAGGCTGCGGAATTCAAAGAAGTACATGTTTTACTTATAACTAAAAATAATTCTTTAAGCTGCGTCTACGCCACTTGTTTATACCAACTACTTACTTAAAAAATATTATTTAATTTAAAATCAATAATATGATAATTATTTAAAAATAAACTTAATAGGAATTGAGATAAAATATATGCATTCAATATCACTTAAAATAAAATTTGATATATGTTTATAATTAAATATTACTTATTGTGTTTCTCGTATACCAACTTAAAAGCGCTAATAATTTTATTGCAATATTATATAATAATCAGTATTCACTATTTTAAATGCTACATGAATTTTGTTTGCTGATTACAGTAGTCTTTTTTATTCAAACAACAATATAAAATATTTTTTCTTAATATGCAATTAATAATCCATAACAATATTAATAAATTCAATGATGATTTTATTAACAGCATCATCAAAGTCTTACCAAGTTTTAGTTGAACAATTTATGCAAAAAAAGTTTAATAGTTTTTTTTCTATGAAAGTATAACAGCTTTCAAAGTTTATTTTCAAATTCCTAATTTTATTCTGATTAGCATTAAAATAATTCCGCTCTAGAAATTCTTTTATTTCTCTGCTATACAAATACAATCGGCTACTTTGCGAAGCAGCTGGCTCACTAAAATAACTTACATTTTAAAAATTTAAAAAATAAACAAAATATTTTTTAAACAAAAACTTTGTTATATGAAGTATTTATTAACCTAGTTTCTTTCAAATTCAATAATACTAAATTTTCTATTTTTAAAAAAACTATAAAAGACCATTTCTATAAAATAAAGTGCTTTCAAAAACTTTATAGAAAAAACTTATAAAGGGTCCATCCATAATGAATGTCACCATTTTAAATACATTTTTTAATTCCCTTCTCCCCATCCTTTAATACCGGTTGTCCTTTTTCCCTATACCCCACTTGAAAAAAACGACATAATATCCTGACCCCGCTTCCTTCCTAGCTTAACCGCACAAAAATGTATTTCATCTTGCAATGATGTTTGAATCTGCTACTAAACCTATAAAAAATAATATTAAAAACATTCTCATACATTATCTTTTTAAAAACACATGTTTACATAGTTTTCCGTGTTAATTAAACTAAAATAAAAAATCTAAAAAGTGACTTTCTTTTCTGACAACTTTCTTTTCTGTCCTTTTTATATTGACCTCTTTCCCACCCTTCCTATATATATGTATATATATGTACATATATATATATATATATATATATATATATATATATATATATATATATATATATATATATATATATATATATATATATATATATATATATATATATATATATATATATATATATATATATATATATATAAAGAGAGAGAGAGAGAGAGAGAGAAAGACTTTGAAAAATCAAAAGAAAATTTCTTTGAATTTTGTAACCAAATTTGCGCAAAAAACAATTGATAACAATTACCAAAAAAGAGAGTCTTTGAACCTTTTCAGTATGGGCAGGCTTATTGACATTTTGGTTTGTTTTTGAAACTAAAATGCCTCAAAAATATTGCAAACCCGACAATAGCCATGCAAATATGCAAAACATTATTATTAAAGTAATTTATAACGTAATTCAAATAGTACTAAAATAAATCGTATAAGTTCAGCTGAATTATTTTTTTAAATTATTTTGCACGGTGACTGAACAATAAGGCCTTTTAAATTTTTAATATTAGGATGACTTTATTTTATAAATATTCTTATTGCATTATAAAGAGGAATTACAATGCAACATTTGCTGTTTTTGTATCGGAATATTGCAATAGCATCTTTTAAGATTGCTATTATATTTCAAAGTTGAATAAAAGTACATTATATATTATTTATGTACTACAATATTAAAATAATTGCAAACCTTAGAAATTATTATTGTTTCTTAGATTTATAACTGTTTTTATAAAAATTGTTAAATTAACAATAGTTTTGTTTCTGTTATTGTTTTTATTATAAGTTTAATAGTCCAAAATAATCTTTATTTTGTTTTAGAAAATCCTTATTTCTTAATACTTCAATTAGTTATGCATCCGAAACAGATCCAACTGCCTGTAACTTAACGCTGGAGTACATGTTGCCGTACTTTTTGAAGATAACTTCTCAAAGTGAAAACTATTCAAATAAGGGCTTAATTTATACAGTAAGACTTTATTCCGTATATATATATATATATATATATATATATATATATATATATATATATATATATATATATATATATATATATATACACATACATATATATATATATATATATATATATATATATATATATATATATACACATACATATATATATATATATATATATATATATATATATATATATATATATATATATATATATATATATATATATATATATATATATATATATATATATATATATATATATATATATTATCGAAATTAAAAATTTTAATTATGACCGTTATAATAAATTACTAAAATTAAACTTTAACCTCAGCGTTAGAACGGCATCTTTGAGGCAAGAATGCAATAAATGGAGTGTAAAATTTTAATTTTGGACTCAGTATTTTGCATTCTTGAGTCAAAGAAGCCGTTCTAACGCTGACGTCAAAGTTTAATTTTTGTATATATATAAATATATATATATATATATATACATATATATATATATATATATATATATATATATATATATATATATATATATATATATATATATATATATATATATATATATATATATATATATATATATATATATATATATATATATGTATATATATATATATATATATACATATATATATATATATATATATATATATATATATATATATATATATATATATATATATATATATATTAAATAACTATTATTTTGTGATTCTAAAAACAAAACTTTGTTGTGAACGTTATTGCAAATAATGGCTAATATATTACAATTATATATACATGCATATATACAAATAAATTTTCCTGGAGCTTACTTTAAAACGTTGTTTTGCTTGTTGTGTAAATGCAACTTTCGAAAGCGTAAGTTTTGTTTGTAGCATAGAATCTTTACTTTAAAGTTAAACAATCAAAATAAAAAACTCGAGATGTGTAATTGCAACATGAAAATGGAAAAATTTCATTGTTTTGCTTAATTCGGTACAAAATAAAATTATTTCCTTGATTTAAATATCCTTTTCAAAGAAATTTTTCGGAAAATCTTTATTTTATAGTTTAAGATTTTAATGTTGACATATTGATACTGAACCTAACAGAATTCCAGTAATTGTTTAGAACATGTGTAAAATCTTTTATTTTATAATACTCAGTGGCTATTTTTTAGTACAAACTCCATAATAAAAACTTTTTAGTTATAAATGGTACAAAAAACAATTTAAAAGGGTGGGTGAGTATTAATGAACAATTGCTTTTATTCAGTAATTGGTGAGCCTTTTTGTAAATAAAATCTTCAGCTGTTTTGCTATAAATTTTAATCACGTAAAGTTAAGCAAAGTAATTAGTAATTTCTCAGCTTTACGTAAATTAAAAGTTACGCAAAATCGCTGAAGTTTTAACTCACGTAAAGCTAACCAATAACTGAGTAAAAGTATTAGCTTGTTTTTATTCACTCGACCTAGTTATCAATAATATTCTATAGTATATAAATTATTAATTATACGATATCTTTGTTCTACTTTATTTTTTTCATTAGATTCCTGGCGCATTTCTGACAAAAAAAATATATCATTTCATGAATATCACTTTAAACATGACAAGCTGCTTATTGTGTGGTGACTTTATTATAGAAATTCCAATAAAGATTTCGTTTAACGACTGCGCAGGATATACAATTAACCAATACGCGTCATTTAAAACAAGTGTAGATTCATCTTTTAATTCAAATCCAATATTTAAAAGAGATAAAAACGCTTTAAAAGGTTATTATTTTTATTATTTTTGAATGCAATTACAAAAGTTTTAAATACTTAAAAAATGCATTTTCCTGTTTAAAGTGGTAAAATAACTTTGCGATATATAATGATTTGAAACAAATCAGATAAACAACTTCATTATTATTCCTACAAACTCTTGTACTAATATTTACTTATTTTCAGTAAAATTAGTTTAATAATATAATAATATCTTTTTTAATCAAAAGTTTAATAAACTGTTTAAACTGAATAATTACACTGGCAAACAAAAAAAAAATTTTTTTTTGCTGCCGAGGATATTTTTACGAATTTATAGTATATCGGGTGTGCTGATTTCAGAAATGACATTAGTTTTCCACGATTGGCTCTAGTTCTTGAGATACAGGGTGTTCCAGATATATTCTTATACAAATATCTTCGTTCATGCATATTTTACAGTAAAATAGTTTTATTTCTTTTTAAAGGGCATACCTTTATGTATATATATATATATATATATATATATATATATATATATATATATATATATATATATATATATATATATATATATATATATATACTT